GGTATCGATATCGGTTATCGGCTACATGAGTTTTAAAATATCGGCATATCGGATATTGGCCAAAATCCCAATATTGCGCATCCCTAGTTTGCATAAGTATAGGGCTGAAACAGTCAATTAATTTAATCAATTATGAAATAATGTGCAACTGATTAAGTGATTGGATAATCTTAAAATGGAGAGTGCAAACTCTAAAAGATAAAGTTTGCTTAAAAAACAAAAAGCCAGAAAAGTAATTAAGCCAAAACTGTGTAAGAAATATATGCATTTTGCATTTAGGATGAAAAAAAAAATGTTTCAGCTACTCATGGTTGAAATAATTAAAAAAGATCTTATTAAGTGCCTTCTGTTAACAGATTGGTTGATAAAAAAAATCTATAGATAATTCGATAACTGACATAATTGTTAGCTGCAACCCTGCATTGATGTTGGCTAGAAATGGGAAAGATATCAGGGAAATATAATGAAGGTTGTATGATTGGGATGAATTCATTGATATATTTCAATAAACCTGGAAGAGTGTTGTTATTAAAACGTTTCTGTTCTGCTACAAGTAAGTTTTAATTAGTCTGAGAAGATTCCTAAAGAAAAGAGATTACTGTATGGACCTTTATTCTCTGAAAAGAGCATTGATATAGCATTTCACATGAGTGAGAAAGGTTAGGGGAGTCAAAGAGTGTGTTGCTGTCCATCAAGCCGCAGCAGCATGACTGTGGGTAAGAATGTGAGTTATGTAACTCCCCTGGCCTTGATTCAAAGCTTTCGGCACACTTAGCTGGCCCTCTCAAGCACGGCTCTTGGCTACATTTGTGATCAAAACAGTATCTTCCCTGAAAATAAAAACAAATGTTAAGACGGCTCATTTACACATAAGATCTACTTTTGCCCTGAGACTAAACATCTGTAAAACATCTAAACAAATCTCACACAGAACACTTTCAATGCATAACATTACAAAAAGTCCTTTTTGTTTGATTTGTAAGTGCAACCTCCTTACCAGATATGCTCCTCATCCAGCAGAGATTTAAACATACAAGTGCTTAATGAAAGTAATCACTCTCCTAAAACATTTTTTCACATTGTCAAGCCATACATACATACATACATACATACATACATACATACATACATACATACATACATACATACATACATACATACATACATACATTGTGACGGTGGGGGGCCCATCTGCGGCATTTTATGGGCAAAAGGTGGGTTACAACTGGTCTCCAGTCTGTTGCAAGTCTTGCTCTTTTCCTACTGCTTCCCCACAGCATGATAAAGCCTTCACTATGTTTCAACATGAGGATGGTGAGGTCAAAGCGATGTGCAGTGTTAGTTTTCTGTCACATGTAACACTTAACATGTTGGTCAGAAGGTTTGGTCTGATGTGTTATTTTACCAGACCAAATTTTAACAATTCTTCAGTTTTATCTTTTAACTATACTTTAAAATTCTTTAAACTTTTCTACATGCTAATATTGTTAGCTGTGTTTCTTGGCCTTTTATGGTGCCAATTGTAGGGTGACCATATTTTCATTTGGGAAAACCTGGACACCTGGTGGGGTGTCACTTTCTAAAAAAAACCCGGGACGCCCGGGACAGGATGTGAAATACGGATATGTCCCGGGAAATACGGACGTTTGGTCACCCTAGCCAATTGTTCAGCCCCTCAGAACCCCATACAACAGATTGACAATCATGTACGTTAACTTAAATGATTCCATAGATGCTTCCACAGAAGATTGTTCTACCGAAATCTTTGGGTTTCTGTAGAACAATTACTGATTAATGATTTTGTTCTCCGACTCATTCCAGAATCTCAATTAGCCCCCAGTTTCTAAAGTAAACTAAGGCATCCAGATAAAGTATTGCTGCAAATGGGGCCCAAGTTTTGTTTAAAAAACTCTCCATTTTCACTCATTTAAGGAGGAGAAACAAAATGTAAATTAAACTGCAACAGCACACAACAAGGGAGCAGCTGAGAGGCCCATGGTAACTCTGAAGAACTGCAGAGATCCTCCGCTCAGCAGTAGGAATCTGTTAACAAGACAGCTATTAGTTGTGCACTGCACACATCTAGCCCAATGGAAGAGAGGCAAGCAGAAAGCCATTATTGAAAGAAAACCCATTAAAACGGTTTCATACCAGTATGTAAATGGGTAGGGGTGGAAAACATGTGGACGGTGGTGCTCTGCTCAGATGAAACCAAAAACCCTTTAGGTGTGTGTGTAAAGGGGGGGTTGAGCCTGCACATTCCCATGGACATATATTCTCTACTATGAAACGTAGCATCAGGCTGTGGAAAAGCTTTTATTGAGCTGTAAGAGAAGGAGGTTGAAGGATGTAGATATGAAGCTACTGCAGAAGACTTCAGGTTTGATGGGCCTCTATTATGCAGAAAGAGAATAAATAAAAGCTGCACAGAAACAGTTTAGATCAAAGTGTTTTGATATGCTAGATTGTCCCAATTAAAATTCCTGATTTCAATCAAAATTAGAATATGTGCCTTGAAAATGCATGCTTATATGAACCGTCTGACTGTGCTTCAACTATTTGGCCAACAAAATAGACAAAAATCAAAGCTGCTATTTACAGCTGCATCACAACAGAAAAAAATAGTTGAAGGTGTAAATGCATTTGAAGGCATTGGACAAACTCTGCTGTCTTATTTCACGGTGGAGTTCTGACTTGCAGGTATGGGTGCAGACATGGATTATAGAAGCATTCCTCCCTAGAAAAGATCTACAGTATATTGTATGCAGCTGCCTGCAGATTGCATCTAATCATCAAAGTTTCTTAAACCTGTTCAGATTGTTTCTTTAATTTACCTTTTGCTGAAAAAAATGTAGATGGATCTCCCCAATTTTTTGCTATAAAAGGGTTTTAATTTGTTTTAGTTGCATCGTGTTGACATATTTTCACTGTATTAAATCCCTGTTTAGAAATCTCTTTTAAAATCTCCATGACGACTGATTATGTGTTGTTTGAAAAAATGAGAATTAATTTGATTTCTTTTTGCAAATGCTTATTATTTTATCCAGATAAGAAAGCTTAAGGAAATGAGCTTTATTGTTTACTGAGCTGAGTTTGGCAAATGAACCGTGCAGGATATTTGAAAAAGAGAAGAATATGTGCAATGGAGCACAAATTCTCCTCTATTTTTTGGAGTAGCGCCCAATCCGCTTTTCCCCACTTCCAATCTCTTCTTCCTAAACCCAATCTGTCCCGCATGCTCATAAAAAGTCAAAATCCAACAATTGCTGTATAAAACGCCACAGGGCTGAGTTCAGAGTGATCCTAGCAGCTGGGGAAAACCTGCTTTCTTTCTGGGCTTTAACTGCCTCCATGTGTATTTCCTGCTTTTTCTACGCCTCCTCAACCCAGTTCAGCTCATTTTTTCTTGCTATCTGCTGACCTGAGCCTCACTCCCTGGCCTCTTCGAGCTGTTTTTCAGCATCGTCCTTCATATCCTCCTGTGTGTTTCTTCTCACATTCCGGGAATTTTTTTCTTTTAAGGAGGGAAAATGGGAACAGTCACGGCTGACAGATGCTGCAGTTTTACCTCTGCACACCCCTGAGTTATTCTTTGCTCTCCTTCCCCCTCCTTTTTACACTCCCAAACAATGTCCCCTTGTTTCCCAGTTGTCTCCTTGGACTTTTAATCCTTTCCTTCCACTTATTTATTTATTGTTTTTTCTAATGCCCATTTTAGAGATCCTGATACCTTCAAAGCTTCCCTTTTCTGTTTCTTTCTTACTGTGTTTTTTCCACCACCCATGTTTAATCATAGTGCTGATAGTAAGAGAGGGAGAAAAAAAAAGAAATGCTCATGTGAAATGGCCAACGCCCAAGTCTGCAGCGCTGATTTCTCTCAAAACAGACTGTTTCCCATAAACCACTGAGGGCCCCACAGCAAGGTCCATGGATTCATTGTGTTTCTTACCATTTCCTGACCTTTGGGACTTGCACCAATTTATGGAGAAAAAACTCACATTCTTAAGCTGTTTAGTAACTGGTTGATATAACGGAGATTTTGGGTTATTTCCATGGACAAGCCCATACCCAAATGTTGTCTATTTGATAAAAAGACATCAGAAAGTTTGATTTTAACTGACTCTCGGCTGCATTACTCGAAGTTTAATGTCAATGAACAGTGAGAAATAAAGTTTCCCATGTCATGTTTTTTTCCTAGAGGACACTGTCTTCCTGGATGATGAAGAGCAGAGGAAGGAATATGTGTTGAACGACACTGGGAGGATTTACTACGGCACAGAGAAGCAAATTGGTGCCCGCACCTGGAACTTTGGGCAGGTATGGACTGGATAAGACTGTAATGTGATATAAACTTGCTTTGCTGGTTAATTAGACCACCGTTAGTCAGTAGGAGTTCTCCACTTTACAGCAGGTTCAAAACTGCACTAGGTATATCATACAGTGAAAGATCTTGGAAAACTTTTCACGGGTTTATAGTTACCTAAAAACAGAGCCAACTATGTATCCGTCTGCATTGATAGCATCTATAGATATGGAAGCAGGGCAATTTTTTTGAAATACAGTTAAATTTAGGAAAAGTCTTGGGTTGTGTTAACCTCTCCTCTGGTTAAACTTTTTCAAACCACTTAAAATTGCTGTAGAAATGCTTTTGTAACGTTAAGGCCAGCACTTAAAATCTTTTGCATGTCCAGACAGATGGAGAAAATCACTGAAAGCTGTAGTGCTAATTATTCATATCCCCAGGTGTGTGTAACGAGGCAAAAGATCTATGTTTGATTTCATCTAACCAGGGTATCAAATTGCAAACAGGGCTTAAATATTTTTTTTTTCAAACAGTGTCTTTCTTTTGATTACTTTTAAAAACTTGTGGCGTGCATAACTAAAAGTTGACCAATCAACTGCAGCTTCTCACCGGTTACCATGGACATAAAGGCTAGTTTTATTATTTTTTCTATTATTTTTTTTTTTTATTAATGCAGTTTGCTCCTCGAATAGATGGACAGCCATATAGTGGAATGTTTTAGATGGTCCGTTCTCTTCCTATTTTTCAGGGATTGAATATTGCTCCATGAGGTGATGAGAGGAGGATTATTTTATATCCTAACCATAAACTTCCCAACGGCTTTCTACCTGATTCTAACTGCGTTTGTTTATAACATCAAGTTCCAACAACAAAACAACAACCTCATACGAATGACTGTGGTTTAAACATGCCTCCGCATATAAAAGTTGTCATAGTTGAACTCTGTAGAGAGATTATCAGTGGAATTAAGATATCCTTGAAACTAATATTGTCTTAGTTTGTCTGAAATTGTCGAAAAGCTCTCAAGTATTGTCTCACCTTATATTTTTGAAAGTTACACTTTCTACAGCCGTACTCTTTTGACATATAGAAAGGATTCTGTTTAAACAGTGTGTGTTTTTTCGTCACTGTGTTTTTGAATGAACTTTTCGTAACAAACCCTTTTTTTGCATTACTAGTTTCATGAGGGAATCCTGGATGCATGTCTGTTCATCCTGGAGAAGAGCGATATGCCTCCATCCGGCCGAGGGGATCCAGTCAATGTGGTCAGAGTCATATCTGCCATGGTGAGTAAATGCACACCACATACACAAAGACATAGAAAGCATGATAGATGGGAAAAGAACCAATATAATGATGTTTTTTTTTGTTGTTGTTTTTTTTCCAGATAAATGCCCAGGATGATTATGGAGTTCTGGTCGGGAACTGGTCTGGGAACTACTCTGACGGCGTCTCTCCTGCAGGCTGGAGCAGCAGTGTGGAGATCCTGCGGAAATACCATTCCTCCAATGGCATACCCGTGAAATATGGGCAGTGTTGGGTCTTCTCCGGGGTCACTACAACAGGTGAGCCAGAGAAAAATAAACACACAAGCTGTCCTTGTGGGTGTGTATGTAGGGAGGGTTTAAACCACAGAGAGACGTGAAAGTTGTTTGAAGCCATCTGTAAGGAGTGTCCTGTGCATGTTTATTTGGATTGTGTGCACGTAAGGAATCCACAGAGCACACATACCCTGGAATCCATCAGCTCAAAAGTCAACTCAATTAGAAACCCAAACATTTTTCTGGTCTTATCGGGTTCTTTTCATCAGCTCTTTCTGTAACTTTGTAACGGAGCCATATCTTCATCGTCTGTGTATTCAGGGAACCTCACATGATAGCTCGCTGACTTTAGCACATGCCTCAGATAGCAAGCCATAGCTCACGTATAGCCTAAATTCATCACACTTGCATTCCTGTCATACCTGCTACTTTTGTTGCAAACAGATCCACTTATGTATCTTTCATGTAGCCACTGCAATGTAATAGATGTAAAGTTATAATCTGGATGTTTAACTCAGATCAGTAATTAATTGCACTTGCAAAGGTAAAGCTATTCCATTGTCTGTCCATGTTTTCAGTGCTGCGCTGCCTTGGCATCCCTGCCCGTAGTGTGACCAACTTCCAGTCTGCGCATGACACTGATGTATCCCTCACCACAGATATTTACTTTGATGAGAATTTGGAGCCAATTGACATCCTTAACAGAGATTCTGTCTGGTAAGAACAACTTTAGACTGACAGAGCATCCTACATGATAACGCCAGGTGCTAAATGCATACCTTTGGAAGACACTTTAAATTTAGGTCCTCTCCAAAAGCACTCCCCTTACACTGGAATGCTTGGAGAAGTCCTCTGCTGTAGCTATTTACAGCTCTCTCACATATGATTTATCTGTTAAAAGAGTATATTGCATCTATTTCAAATGTTATAATTAAGGGGTAGGTTTGTAGTTCAGGAGGTATATAATAGAATATAGAAATTGTGTGTCTGAATGATAGCACATAACAGTCCAGCATCTTTAAAAAAAAAATGCTAAGGAGTGATTGCAACTAAATAATGAAATAATAGGAAGAAAATCCTGATTTGCATTGATTTGTCCACTGAAAGTCCACTGTAGTATGTTGGAGATTTAACAAACTGTGGTCACCAGCTGTGAAAGTTGAGACGAATTTATGATTCAAAACACACTCAAAAAAACTTATACGTCTGTCATCGGAATTCTTTATATTGGAGAATATTGTAGAGATGGAACCCTAGAAATCTAACTTTTTTAGACATAATCGTTCTGTTTTCACGAGGTAAGATTTAAGTGCATGCTAGTTAAAAAAAGGGAAACAATCTGTCTTGCCACTCAAATTCAGACAGGTTTACTTTCATTTTTCTTACATCATTTTGCAATTTGCCACAAAGTGATTCACTTCAAGCTGATGTTACGCATGTGGTGAATTAGAAAAAAATAGAAATACTTCTGAACCACTCGGCATTCATTAGGCTCAGACAACAAGAAAAAAACAAGGTGTTGCAGCAGCTCATAAAGGATGATAAACATGCAGAAGAAACATTTAGAGAGAAGAGTTAGTTAATCTAATATTGCAATCTGTGGACATCAGGTGATAAAAAGCAAAAACATTTTCTTTCTGAACCAATGTTATGCTTGCAAACACCCACAATTGCCTTTAAGACCTGACTGCTGATTCAGATAACATCATCTGTCTGTCACCACAATGGAATAACAGTGTATTGTGCAGGATAAAAGAGAAATGCCTATTAATTTCATCCACAGAAAATCATGTAGAGAGTAAGGTTACTTCATCAATTCTGTATTGTGGAAATGCATCCTGATATCCATTTAACATATTTTCATTAAAAGGATCTTTTTTTTGTAAAGAGGACTATTTGTTTTTTGGTTAGCAGTCATGTTCTGCTTTCCTGAATCAGCAGTTCACATATGGAAATACAGGTTCATACTGAGGCCACAAAGGCTATATGTAATAGAAAGGTTTAGTTTAAAAATATTTCATACTTTTAAAATTATTATATTTTCTGACTCTGAAATAGAATTTAAAGTAGAATGAGGATAAGTTGGATTTTTTCTAATAAACCTCCTATTCCCAAATGACCCTCCATGTTTTTACACTTTATCTAGGAATTTCCATGTATGGAACGATTGCTGGATGGCAAGACCAGACCTACCTCCTGGGAATGGGGGCTGGCAGGCTGTTGACTCCACACCGCAGGAGACAAGCCAGGGCACCTTCCGCTGTGGCCCTGCTTCTGTCATTGCCATCCGCTCTGGACATGTCTACCTCAAACATGACACACCTTTCGTCTTTGCTGAAGTAAGTGTGCTTTTTCTGGGGTGCAGTGTGAGATGGCTGCTCACACTGAGCCTGGTTCTGCTGCAAGTTTCTACCTGTTAAAAGGGAGTTTTTCCTCTCCACTTTCGCTACAAGCATGCTTAGTGTGAGGGATTGCATCTGAGTCAATGAGTCGATGCAATCAACTGGTTTTCCTTAGATAGAAAATTTTGAATCATGCCTTGAGATGACATGTGTTGTGAATTGGTGCTATAAAAATAAACTGAATTAAATTGAATTGAATTATAAGCTGAAGGTTCAAATGATTTACAGATCAGATCTTTTTAACCCGGAGAACCAATGCTCTTTCAATTTCACAGCCAATGTTTAGTTATGTATTTGGTAAGGAGATGTCAGCTAACCTCTCCTTTATAAAATTAATGGATTATGAATAATGATATCCAGGGCCTTCAAGATGTAAACAATTAAACAATAAAATGTTATCTGTCAATTGGATAATCCTTTTTACTATATTTTATTCTTAGGTCAACAGTGATAAAATTTACTGGCAGAGGAACCTTGATGGTACTTACTCCCAGATCTACAGTGAAAAGAAAGCTGTTGGGCACTGCATTAGCACCAAGGCAGTGGGCTCTGATGAGCGTGAAGACATCACACACCTTTACAAACATCAAGAAGGTAATGAAATGCAAGTTTTACTTGAAAAATTAAAGGTCGTAATCGTTTCATACCTTTTCGCTATCTGAAAAAGGAAAGGTTTATTAGGAATATTATTTTCAATAGATTGTTTTACTTTTCTCTGATTCCTCCAAAACTCCATAACCTCTCATTTGTCTTTTAAAACATGGAAATGTGCATCTCTTTTTGCTTTGTTTTTTTGGAAAGTCATGTGCGTAGCAATGCTTCTGCAGGTTTATGTAAATCTTAAATCTACGGACAGGATAATATTCCCATATCTCTTTATCCCATTCTTGGACAGAATCTGAGGAGGAGCGCATTGCTGTGGAGACAGCTTGTCGTTATGGCAGCAAGCCAGACGTCTACTGTGCACCTGCAGCTGAGGATGTGAAGGTGGAGGTGAAGATAGATGGCGAGGGGCCCAGGATGGGCAGTGACGCCAAGCTGAGCATTGTGGTGAAAAACCAGAGCTCACAGCCCAGACAGACAACTCTACACAGCCAGGTGGCTGTAATGTACTATACGGGCGTGCTGAAGAATGCTATCAAGAAGGATAAGATCCCTGTGGAGCTTTTGCCCAATGAAGGTTTGATTTTAAAAGTCCTTTATTTATGTTTTTGGATCAAATATGGTGCAAATGAAAGTTCCCAATTCCAATCCAGGGTTATAGTATCTCATTAGATTAGTAAAAACAGCTTGTTTCACAATTCCTCCATAGAGTTGCCCAAAGTAGTGATTCCTGAATGTTATAAAAGTGTAGCTTAGAAAATGCTATTAATCAACAAATCATTGCATGTTAGGATAGGTTTTCATTTCTAAGCTGCAGAATCAGTCTGGTCTTGTTTCAGAGGATATTTTTTTTAATATATCCACACAGAGAGAAGCTAATCAACTTCGTGTGTTTCCTTCTGCTTCCAGAAAAAGTTATTGAATGGATCTTGCCCTACCAGCAGTACCAGAACCAGTTGGTGGACCAGGCTGCTCTGATGCTGACATTGTCAGGGAGAGTCAGTGAAACAAAGCAGGTGTTGGCCAATCAGACAACTTTCAGACTCCGTACACCTGACCTCCAGATTACGGTAGGATTTTAATAAGAATCTGAAATCCTTTATGTAACAAGTATATTAACAAGAAATTCTGTAGATTGTTTGATTCAGTATTTTGTCCTTCATGAGGCTCAAATTCTCCTTTTTTTAAACCAGCCTCTGGGTGAAGCTGTGGTCGGGAAGGAGATGTCGGCTAAGATTACCTTCACCAACCCGCTGACTCGTATACTGAAGGATGTTGTGTTCAGAGTGGAGGGCTTGGGCCTTCAGAAAGGCCATGAAGTAGTTGTAGGGTAAGAAGACTATATCATTTTGTTCGTCATCTTTTTTAGGCTCCCTATTCTTTATCCATTAATGCCAACATTTGATTTCTCCATGCCTATTTTAGTGATGTTGGAGGCCAAGCTACAGTAACCCTGACGGAGCATTTCATCCCCAACCAACCTGGACCCAGAAAACTGGTGGCATCCCTTGACTGTAAACAGCTGACACAAGTGCACGGAGTCGCTGACATTGTTGTTTCCGAACAATGAGAGTTTTCATATTGAATTCTTCTACCTTAAGCAGTCCTATTTACCTCTTACTGCTACCAGTTTAAACATTTGTTATTCTGAATTGTGAAATATTGACTAACCACTGTAGCATTATCAGTATTATCATATATTTTTTTATCTATTATAAACTAAGCACTTCTGAATTTCTCTATTAATGCATGCAGTAGCCCTGCATAGCAACAGACGCTTTAATTAACATGTTTTAAATGTATAAAATTATTCTAATACTACTTAAATGTGAAATAGTGAACATAAACGTGAAGGTTCACAGTGGGGCCGCTTTGTGGTTGTGTAAATACTTTCTAAGTGTAGGATTCATTCAAAATGTCTTAATGTGAAAATTTTTGACAAAATTAACTTTATATGGCTTAAATGAAGGAAGAATCCTCTTTAGGATGTATTTAGATCTTTTTCAGACGATCAAAGTTCCTTTGCAGAAATCTGCAAATATATCAGCATTGTCAGATTAAACGGTCTAAGGCTGTTAAAATATAAAAAATAAATAAAGATCCAAATCGTTTCACCAAAGGAGGAAATCGGACACTGAACCGTAGCTTAATATGAACTAATTTTAATTAAAACGCCTCTAAGTCAGTGCCGCAAATAACCTTTGTTTGACTGCAACATTGAACACCCCTACACCCCACCCAAAAGTTATTCTGTACTTCCTGTTTTTCTCCATCTGGTCACAATAAGACTGACATCTGACTGAGTGTTGGCCTAGTGGTTAGAGTAGTGCGCTTGTGCTCTGAGAAGGTTGCAAGTACCTAGTTCGATCCCCATAGCCTGCACTCTGGGTTCCTGAGCAAAACTCTTATCCCCACACTGCTCCGGGCGCCACGCAATGGCAACCCACTGCTCCCCAAGGGGATGGATTCAGTGCAGAGGGTGAATATCCCTATTGTGGGACAATAAAGGGATTTTCACATCTTTTTTGCATATTGCAGATAAATTACTAATTTAAGTAGAGATGATTTACACAGAAGCACAGGAGAAGACGATTCTTATCTCTTTAGATATTTGTGATGGTGGTGGTGGGGTATCTTTTTTTTAAACCTCTTCACATATTTAAAGCCCTTGATTTGCTGATTGAATGTCTCAAAACTGTATCTCTGAATCTATTTTTTCCCTTTTCTACACCAAGATTATTTTCTTTACACCAGATTGCGGCAAAAATAGAATCGCTGCAGAGCCAAACAGTCCTTATTTCCAATTTACACATGCCAAACAGAAGCAGGTCGCTCCCTGTCATTGTGTAATAGCACATAACAGTCCCAATCAGATACGCTGACAGCAGTATTACTGTTTAGATCAGTGTGTCGCACTCTATTGGCCTTGAAACAAAAAGAGAAAATGAAGTGTCAGTTTCATTAACCCGTCACAATTTCAGCACAGGATGTTTGTACAAACAGAGAATCTTGTGCAGAATATAGTTTTAAATCAACTCAGCACATGTTGGTTTTGATATTTTTTACTTTTATAATGTTTTTAATGGTAGATTGTTATTTTTAAGAAGAGAAGTGATCCTGTGCATGACTCGAATAAAAATCTGCTTTTGATCCAAAACTTGTACTCAACATCCAGAATTCTTGATTCCTCGTTTTCTGGTTCATAGCTCTTTAACTATACCACTCAGTGTACAATGTGAAGGAAACTATATCCATACTATTTATCTAACTTGAAATATTTTGTGTTGTTTTTGTTGTGAAAATAATAAAATACAATAAAACCTTAATGATTCATTTCCTTTTAGACAAGACTACAGGGTTAAAATTATGTAAACAAAGCTTTTCACCAGATACAATTATTCAAACCTCCATTTTTACTATTTTTTTTCTCTACAGCTTTAATTCGGCTTATTTATATAGCAGAAATCCACAGCACATATTATCTCAAGTTACTTTTCAGAGACACTTGAACCCAATAATGCAGTCAGACTGGTTAGCAGTTTTCTATCTAAGGAGACCCAGCTGATTGCATCTAGTCAGCGACTGCAGGGCACACTCCTTCTGGATTACCATGTAGCCACAGCAGACATTATCTTGCATTCTGTTAACCACACTACAACAATCCCTTACACTGAGCATGTATACAGCAACAGCAGACATGAAAAACTCACTTTTAACAGGAAGAAACCTGCTGCAGAACCAAGCAGCCATATGCCAACGCCAGTGGAGTTAAAGGCGGCAATCTAAAGGAACATAAGCAATGATAGATGAATGCCTTCTATATTTTAGATGGTAATGGTTAACTAGCTCCATAGCTGGCTCTGTGTGGGAAAGAAGTAGTTAACCAGATGAATTCCAAATGTCAAAAAAGGATAGAAAAGAGCACAAACAGTTATACTCAAAGCCTGTCCCATAACTATGTCTAGGATAGAAAGAGGGATAATTAACACTAAAAACAGAAACAACTTTATGATCTGTTATTGGCCAGGCTTCATTTTGACAGCATCCCTTACTGCCCAAGGTCACCATTGTATTTTGGTGCCTGCCCCTAAGAGAGGGAACTCCAGACCTCAGTGCCACAGCTATTGGTGGTCCCACTGACCATAGAGGCAGAGAACATGGTCCACTCAGACTCTATGTCTAGCCGCCCCTAGATTCTAGAAGCTCTCCTGGAGGTGGGAGTATA